TGCAAAACATCTACGGTCACTATGCTAACGTGCAATCACCATAATGGGGTTATTATGATCCTCTCTATCAATAGCAACATCAACTCAAGGAGCAAGCCTATCTTGAGGCTATGCAAAAAATCTACGGTACTAAAGTCCAATAAGGAAACCCCTTAGAAGATGTTGAAAGAGAAATGAAGCAACAAGCTTATCTATCTGGAATGTAAAATATTTACGGTCACTACAACGTTCAAGCTCCAAGCATATACTACGACCCAGACAGCCAAACGATACATACATTCAAGGACATACCCTATCTTAACCCCATGCAAAAACTCTATGGACCCAGTGTTCAATCAGAGTAATCCTAAGCTTAAGATTTTATCGCAAAAAGAAAAGGTTAAAAACAGTCTCATAAAAGAAATGCAGATGATGATGAAAGTGTCAAGCCAACAACTCCTCAAGATAAATAGATGAAGTAATTAAATTAATTAAAAGATATATATGGCATCGAAGATCCATTCAAGCAGCCCCATTAGTAACATCATAAGAAACCCCATAAAGAAACATCATAGAAACCACATCATCATAAAAAAGACACAGACCCAGACATGAAACCTATGACACCATCTGAAAAGACAAAGATGTTCTCTAGTGCTCTCAACAAGATTTATGGAGTTAAGCCAGATTAAAAACCATATAAGCCAGTAGATTAAGAAACTTTCGAAAAGTAACAATCATCTATCAAGCATAAGGCTTACAAAAAGACCCTTGAAAAGATATACGGTAAGAAAATAGACAAGGATGAAAAAACTGGCAAGCACGAGGTTGTTGACTGGGATTCTGAATACAAGCCAAGAAAAGACAGGAAAAACTAAGCTACCTCAGTCTAATCTGATGATGAAGAGTGAGTGACATATTCTACGATGAATTTAAGATCAAATGCTAACTAATGTGTTTAATTTTGCCCTCTCTAATACTTTAGGGTAGAATTTCTATTAATCCTTTTATCAATATTTAAATACAATCTTTTGGTATTCTTCTAGCATTTTTAAATATGCATTGCATGGGGTTTTGGGGTTTTGGGGTTTTGGGG